AAAATTATGTATTTTTTAATGTGGTTGTGGACTGACTACATGCTGTACAAGTTTTACAATTATATTGACTTTTTAAAAACATTTTAGCAATTAAATATGTGGTTTTGTAAACAGTTTTTTTCTTTTATAGACTCACTGGAGTTCCTTTAAATTGTCATTCATTGATTAAAAGACTGAAGTAATAAAGTTCTGGAGGCGATTTTGGAAACATGAAAAAAGATTAATGATATAAAAACTGTATTGGGATTTTTTTTCTCTTTACCATAAACAAAATATATGAGATTTACTGACCCAAATGCTTTAATGTCATATCACGGTAATATAAACTCAATACCAGGATGACGCCGGGTTCATATTTTTGATTCTACCGTCCTCCTTAATTAGGTATAAATGCTTACATATGTATGTGTCTCTTCGTTCTAGCTACTGTACTTTGTACTCTCATACTGCATTTCACTGCAGTGCTCATATATAAACAGTGAATGGCTAATTACAACAAGAAGAATAGCTGTGATGAATTGAATTTAGCAGATCAGTTCTGATGCCTTAAATGGCGCACTTGGGTCTGTCTGAGAGCTCCGGCGGTTTTCTTTTCACGCGTAACCGGGTGTTTCCTAAATGGGGGCCACGCAGCCTCCCCTCAAAGTAATCGATTGCTTACGGCTGCTTGGCTTTTCGTCTGAGTGACGGGGCTGTTGGCCGAGATCCACTCCCTCCACGTATATATAATTATTTCTTTTGCTCGCCTCCCCGGGCTGCTACCGCACCAGGAGGCCCCGCTGGGCATAGAAGAGCTGTCTACTTCTTTCTCGTTCTGCAGGTAAACAGCCCTGGGGAGAGGCTGCGGGTGGTGTTTTCTTTTTCATGTTTCCCTTTTAAGTCACGGCTAAAAGAGAATTTAAATGGATCCGCTTTTTCACATGACCCCACCCCAACCTCTTTGCGTACCACGGTACCTTCCCCTGTTCGAGACAGCCTGGAGGAGGAAGACGCCATTAGGTGACTTGCAGTAAATGTGTTTCGGCATTTTCATTTATAGCCATTAGTAAATTATTCACCATTTATAGCACAGTGCTGTTCAATTCTGGAATCTGATTGGTCAGCAAGGTGTTGTGTGCAACATGCTGTTATGGCCACAGCCATAGCACTCACCTGTCATTCGTCTATTACTGTAAACACTGTAAGACGGAGATATCTGTTCTCCGCAACAGAGAAGTTTCCCGCTGCTTCTGAAAGTTTCGTGTGCTGATTTTTTTTTTCTTTCATTTTTCATACTTGTTTTCTCAATTTATGCTCAGGTACCTTATTTTTTTAATGGTCTTAATATAGATGTATACTCCTCATTCTATAGGAGTTAACCAACATCGATTTCTTCAGAGATGGACTAAACCGACCATTGTAACAGACCTGACAAGCGTGAATTACATATTGATCCGAACTGAGCAATACCCCAAAAGCAGATTTGAGTCGTCTATTTCACACAGACCGAATTCACGATTACCACCCCCTTTTCTAGTAAGAGTAAAAAAAAAATAAAAAATCATTATACATTTTTGCTTTCCCTAAATAAATACATTTTAATATTACCATGTTGGCCCGATTATAAGACTTCTAAGTATTGTTTCTCAAAATGAGTGTCATGCCAGATGCGTGAAACCCTGGCGATGTGCATGTTTAGGCTGTATCCCTGAGTGTCGTGTACATTTTTAACTTCTCTGGCTGTGCCGCTGCTAGCACTAAACTGATAGTGGCTGTTAATAAAGACAGTAACATTCATTTTAAGAGCTGTCATTTTTATTACTGTGGCTCAACCTTTCTCTGCAATATGTTTTTCCATCCTCTTTATGTGGGCCTGCTGCATCAGAAACATTCTGGCCCCTCAAGTGTGTGTCTACAGCCACCC